AAGAAAGAAAGAAAGAAAGAAAGAAAGAAAGAAAGAAAGAAAGAAAGAAAGGGGGGAAGGAAGCAAGCAAGCAAACAAGTAAGCCAACCAGTCTGGAAGTATGATTTAAAAGTTAAGAATATTTCTGCTCTACCAGATGGACCCTAACACCTGTATTGGTAACTCACAAACACCTGTATCTTCAGTTCTAAGGAATCTGATGCCCCCTTCTGGTCTCCAAGAGTACCACACAGGCATGCAAGCAAAATCTCATTAGGTATCTCTGACCAGGCTGGCCTTGAAATCACAGTGATCTACCTGCATCTGCCTCCCAAGTACTGGGATTTAAGATCCATCATGTTTGGTCTTAAAATAAATCATTTAAAATTATTAATAAATAAATGTAAAATAAAACAAACAAACAAAAAGAAAATTCAAGCCCGGCGTGTTGGTGCATGTCTGGAATCCCAGTACTTAGGAGATGGAAGCAGGAAGACCATTAACTGAATAGAAAGTTTGGAGCCAGCCTAGGTTACATGTGAACTGTCTCCAAAACACAAACGAACAAAGAAAGCATAAACTGAATAAAGGAACACGTAAGTAAGTAGCTAACTGCTGTAAATATATGACAGTAGGAACATGAATAGATACTGTTCCAATTTGCTGCCTCTGTCTTCCTTCTTGCTATGTTGACAGCATCACCAGTGCAAATGTCAACATGGCAATGTTATTGTAGCTGCTGTCCTTGAAGACCCCAGGAGCTCTGAGCCACACTGAGCAGCACTGCTAGCAGCTGTAGACATAAAAGCAGGGGTTATTGGGGCCAGATGTGTTTGGCAGCTGGAATCACTAGACCAATAGTGTTCCTGCTGTTGCGGACATGTCCACTGCTAGGTTATCCTAACAGGCAAGGCAGGTCACATTGCTTTGGAAACTACAGACCTATAGGAGATGGGTCTCTCAATCACTATCACACTGTGGCCCAGTAGGCAAAACATCTGTACACAGAAAACAAAAAATAAAAACCTGTGGCCCAGAGCGAGTCAGTGCAGCTTGGAAAGTTTGCATTGACTCTTGTAGGATCATGCACAGTGATGCTTCTGGGTTGTAGCTCAGTGCTAAAGTACATGCCTAACGTGCATGAGGCTCTGAGTTTGATACTCAGAAGTACCCACCTGCCCCAAGTTAATTCCATCATGTTTAACATTCCAGTCTGTTATATCCAAGTGGCTCACTCTTGTAATCCCAGCACTTGGTAGGTAGAGGCATGAGGGTGAGGAGTTCAAGGCCATCCTTGGCTACGTACAGAACTGGAGATCAGTTAGACTGTGTGAGACTCAGTCTAAAAAACAAAGTGGGGAGGGGAAGAGGGAGGATGGCAGCACTATCAATAGAATGGAGGGATGGAGAGCGGAGTTTGAGTCGAAGGGCGTACTTAGCAAGTGTGAAGTCCCAAGTTCAAACCACAGGGACTAATAATAACAACAATAATTGTGGTGGTTTGAAGAAGAATGATCCCCATCCATTTGGATGTGCGGTTCCCAGTTGGTGGACTGTTGGGAAGGATGAAGAGGTGTGTCCTTGTTTGAGGAGGCCAGTTCAAAAGCCTCTCCAAGCCCAGTGTCTCTGCCTGCTCTTGAGGATCAGTATGTAAAGCTCTCACTGCCTCTCCAGCTCTCCAGCGCTATGCCTGCCACCAGGCGGACTCCCCACCATGATGGCAATGGACTAAGCTGCTGAAGCTGTAAGGCAGCCCCCAGTTAAATGCTTTCCTTTATCAGAACTGCCATGGTCATGCTGTCTCTTCACAGCAATAGAGCACTGACGAAGACGATGACGAAGGCTGGCAGGATGGCTCAGTGGCTGCTACCAGGCCTAATTACCTGAGTCTGAGCCTTGGGACCCACTTGGCAGAAGGAGACAATCAACTTCTGCAAGTTGTCCTCTGACCTCCCCTCGAACATGCGTGTGCACACACACACACACACACACACACACACACACACACACACTCACATACGCACACACACGTAAAAAAATTAATGATATGGAAATAATAGGCAACTTCTGTAATCATCTATCTAATAGGAATGAAGATACACTAAAGAGAGACACTTGTGCCCCTCTTTAGGCTATCAGACTATTGGTTCCGAAGAATTAAACTTTCTCCAGGATTCCCAAGCTATAGTAAGGGAAAGGTTGAAGTCCGGTGTCAGCGGGGAAGAGGCTGCCTCCCAGGAGAGATTTCACAGAATTCTGACTACTATCAGATTACCCTGCCGGCCAATCTTGAGAAGAGGCCCTGAGGGGTCCATGGTTTAGGGAGTGCGTACTGGCCAAGCCTGCTCAGTTATGCAAGTCTCTTGTCCCCTATTTGAATCTAAACCTCACGTCAATACCCTAAAGGTGGACTTGGGGTCACTTGACCTCATTCCTTGCTCCTCTCTCCAATGTGGACACATTGAATCAGTCTCCTCTCTCTGTTTCTATTAATTGTCTCTTTAATTGGTGTGTTTGGGGCCAAATCTAGCTTGTTGGGGCTTTTATAACCCAGGTTTTGACCCTAAGAACTCTGGTGGTACCACTATTGTGACTTAGAAAGTCCTAAATCGTAAATACATTCTATGGGAGCACTGGGGAAAACGAACTAGGAGATTAAGCAAGTTTTCATCAGTTTGTTTTTGAATTTGGGCTGGTGGTGCAGTTCAGCGGCTAGAGTGCTTCCTTAGCGTGCCCAGGGCCCATTGATGACAAACAAAGATGGGCAATGGACCTGCAATCTCAGGGACGGGGAGACGGAAACTGGCCATTCCCTGGGGCTTGTCAGACAGCTAATGTAGTCTATTTGGTATTTGGTGAATTCTAGGCCTGTGAGAGACCTTGTCTTTAACCAAAAATAAATAAATAAATAAATAAATAAAGGTGACTGTTGCTTGAGAGGAATCATACGCACATTGTCCTTGGACCTTTACTCCCAAATGTACATGCACACACAGCAGTAGCATTTGAGCCAGCTTTAAAATCTAAGTACAATTTCAGGTTGGAGAGACGGCCCTTCAGTTATGAGCAATGAATGCTCTTCCAGAGAATCTGAGATCAAGTTCCAGCACCCACATGGCAGCTCACAACTGTCGATAGCTCTAGTTCTAGGTGATCCTATGCCCTCTCTGGCCTCTCACTACCACCACAAGGTGCACAGGCATACGGGCAAAACACCAGAGAGAGACAGAAGGGAAAAGGGGTTTTAAAGTCAAGGACAACTTCCTTTGAGAAACTGGAAGTTCTGGGTGAGCTAGGTAAGGTGGCAACATTCACCTAGAGCTTTCTGGATACAAGAAATATATCTGTCTTAAAAAAAAAAAAATGTCCAGGGGCTGGAGAGAGGGCTTGGCAGTTAAGAGCACTTTTGACTGTTCTTCCACAGAACCGGGGTTCAATTCCAAACATACACAGAGCAGCTCACACCAGTCTGTAACGCCAAGATGTGATACCCTCACACAGATATACATGCAGGCAAAATACCAATATGCACATAAAAAATTAAATTAAAAAACAAACAAAATACCCCCACCCCCGGCAAACAGTTAACGGATTTTGTTAATTCAACAGCCTTTTGCCTAATGACCTGCTTTGGTTCAGGGAGTTGCTAGTTTCCCATGTATCCCTTCAGGATTCATATACAAAGCCTTCAGCATTACGACTCATGAAAGAGTCCAAAGGTTGGGAAATAAATTTCTTCATGGGTTTTTTAAAATAAAAATGTTATTTTGTTTGCGTTGTGAAGAAAAAACAAACAATAACAACAACAACAACAACAAAAACCCACCTTATTTAGCTCTAACTTTAACTTCCAAAACATTGAATGAGTTGCCTTAAGGGGAGGCAGTGTCATATAATACAGAGTAAGGACACAGCCCCTGCCATCTGCCAAGGAAAATTAAATCATTTAAACTAACAGTTTTCTTTTTTTTCAGACAGGGCCTCACTCTGCAGCCCAGTCTAGCCTGGTACTCATTTCTCTTTCCACTTGAGGCTCCTGAGAGCTGAGCTCACAAGTGTGCGCCACTACCCCTGTGCTAGGTGCTTTTCTCTTTCTAAGTTTCAGATGTGGTCTTTCTGTGTGCCCAGGCTGACGTCAGCTTCCCAAACAGCTGGGATGGCAGGTGCCCTGCCACTACCCACGTCTAGCAATTAAGATTTTTTTAAAGTGGAGTTGGGAGGTTCCAAGAGGCCTGCACTCAGGCTTGCTAAAGGTTAAACCACAGAATGTTCCAATAGGCTTGGGTAAACAATTGAAGTCAGTATCTGCTGGCCTTCAACATTTCTCAGCAGGAGTACCCTCAATAATTAACAAGGAGGTTTACAAACAATGACTGCCTCCCAAAAGCTACTCTGGAAATCCCCAATAAAAAGCAAAACCAAAGGAGCCCCTGCCTTTGCCTCCTGCACTGTTTAGGGTACTCCAGTTCAGTCTGTCCAAACAGCTCCTAGATAAATGCTCCCTAACTTTAGTGTTTTGAGGGGTTCTCTGTTTGTCTGTTTTGGTTTGATTTCTGAAATGATCTCAGTATGTAGCCTTGGCTGACCAGGAGTTTACTATGTAGACCAGGACTCAAATTTAGAGATCCATCCTTAAATTTTTTTAACTAGTGTTGTGTTTCATAATTTAAATATAAATTGGATGTGGTGCCCCATGCTGGTAAATCCAGGATTGGCAAGGTTGAGGTAGGCCGATTATGATAACTAAGATTATATAACAAAATACAGTTTCAACAATAAATGAAAAAATGTAAGTCTTGGAAAAGCAGAATGTGTTTGCAGCTACAAGCATGCATGGGAAAAGGAAATTGATAAACATGGGGGAGAAAGATGCAAATTCAATTCTGCTGGGAATTTCAGAAATAAAGAAATATGAGAAGAATTTCCCCATGCCCAGGAATGAAGAAGCCCTTCAGCAAGAACGGGTGTTGGAGGACAGGCATGGGTAGGGCTGGGAAGGCTGTCTCATGAAAGACTGGGAAAGTGGATGGACTCCTGGAATGCCTGCCTGGAAGTCTGCCTTGAACCGGTAGGCAAGGTGAATTCACTCAGGTTTGCTTGGGGAACCCAGCAAGTAGTCGCTAAAGGATGGATGGGACCGAAAGGTAAGTTTGGAAACGGATGGAGTTGTCTAGAGCAGAGACCAGTTGATGCCCACTGAGAAGCTGGAGTTGGTGAAGAAAGTGAACATGTAAATGACCAAGAAGGAATGTCAGTATTGAGTCACCCCAGTGTGGTGCTGGGATCAGACCCAGGGCTTGGCCTGGCTAGAAAAACAGTCACAGAGCTATGGTCAAGCCTTTGCTTTTATGCTTGCTTCATTCTGTAGTTCATTGCTCACACTGTAGCCCAGGCTAGCTTTCCTGCCTTACCACCAAACTTCAGTGTGTGTCACCATGCCTGAATCACCATGCCTGGATCCCCATGTCTGGAATCACCAAGCCTGAATCACCATGCCTGGATCCCCATGTCTGGAATCACCAAGCCTGGATCACCATGCCTGGAATCACCATGCCTGGATCACCATGCCTGGAATCACCAAGCCTGGAATCAGCCTCCTTGTTTTTATTTTGTTTGAATGTCTTCTCAAGATAGTTTTGTTTTTAAATAACAAACAGAAACCAAGGCTGTCCTACAAAACAGCCCTTCAAAGGAGGCATGTAAAATATGAAAGTGGCCCTAATGCGACAGAGCCACCACGCGTTTCTCCTGGACAACAGGCCTTCCTGCTCTGCAATCACGTAGGGGCATTTAACTCGGCATCCAAAGAAAACTGGTTCTCCCCAAGCCCGACATCTAGACTGAGGTATGATTGTTTGGTTGAATTTGTTTGTTTTCGAGACAAGACTCTCTCATACTTTGGCCCAGTCTAGCCTGGAACTCACTATGTAGCTCAGACTGGCCTCCAACTTAAAGTGATTCCCTACCCCTGTTGCTCAACTAACAGAACTCCATGCACGAACCAACATACCCAGCTTTTGTTTCTTTGTTTAAAAGATGAGGTCTTCATATGTAACCCAGCCAGCCTAAAACTAGTTGCCCTTTCAAGCTGTAACATTCCTCTTCCCTGTTTTCTCATTTTCTCCCCTTTCTCTCGCTGGCGTTTTCCTTGGTGTCCTGCTTTGTTTTTAGACGGATTCTAGCTATAGCTATATAGTCAAAGCCGGACCTCCGACACTCAAATACTAAGTACAGGAAGGCCTGACTTTTTTGTTTTATTGTTGTTTTTGTTTTGAGACTCTGTTACCCTAGGCTGGCCTCAAGCTCACGGTGTAGCCCCAGGCTCGCCTCAAACTCACAGTAATCCATCCTCCTGCTTGGCCTTCACAGGCTGGAATTACAGGAGTGAGCCACATACCTAGCATCAAAAGTGATTTTGTAAGTAGCTTTCATTCTCATTTGTATTTGCAGAACCAGAAACTGGAAGCTCCAGAGGGAAACGGCTTATCTGAGGTTACCCCAGCTGAGTCAGCAGCACAGTAGAAGATCCGAAGACAGAGACCATCCTTAAAACACTGCCACGGCTTCTCTAGCCTCGACCTATGACCTGCTGTCCTTATTCCTTACAAAGTTGCTGTCAGTCACTGAGGGTGGGTTCCCCTCCCGAGGTCTGTATTGTGAGCCTGTAATCCCAGCACAAGGGTGAGGAAGACAGCAGGATCATTCTCAGCTGCACTGTGAGCTCCAGGACGGTCTCAGCTCCTTAAGACCTTATCCCAAGGGAAAAAAAAGAAATCACACTTTAACAAGGAGCACAGAAAAGGTACTGAGCTTTTTATTTCTTTTGAAGCAGACCACTCTCTTCTTTCTAGAAACAAAAGCCCATTCAAAACAATCTCAACAGGATGCTCCCAGCCCAGAGTCTAGGGAGCTCTAGGTTCAGTGGGAGGCAAGGGGGAAGGGAGGAAGGCAAGCAGAGAGAAAGGCAAGGGGAGGGGAGAGAAAAGAGGAAAGGGAGGAGGGAGGCAGGAAAAGGAACACCTGGGCATTTTGGCTCACACCTCTAATCCCCAAATTTAGGATTCTGGGAGGAAAGATCACTGAGTTTCAGGCCAGCCTGGACTATATCATGTTCCAGACCACCTGAGCTCCATTAGGAGATTCTGTCTCAAGATACAAAATAAAATAAAAATAATAAATCCCAAAGAGAGAACTGGAGGGATTGCTCAGCAGTTGAGAGCACAAGCTGCTCTTAGTTCAGTTGGCCACACCCACATCGGGGTCGCCCACAGTTCCAGGGATTCCAAAGCCTTCTGTGTCTTTCAGGACGGAGAAAGGAGCCGGCAGCTGTGACTCAACAGTAGACACTTGCCTAGTATGCACATGACCCTGGGTTCAACCCCCAGCACCCATCTCCAAATATAAAAGCATAACGTTTTTATTAGTTGTGCAGTTTATTTTTCTCTACTAGTCAAATGAAAATGTGCAAGAGGCTGGATGTGTCGCTCAGATGGCGGAGCCCTCACCTGGCACTGCAGGGAGCATTAGATTCAACCCAGCACCGTATGAAAGTGAGCATGGTGGCACATGTGTATCACTCTGTTAGCTGAATGAGTCCAAAGCACCGTTTCAACCTGCCGCCAGTTGTCATGGTCTGTCTGGCCACAGCTCAGGTTATGTAGCCTGAGGTAGCCTTGAATGTGATTGCTCTGGCCTCAGATTCCTGAGTTCTGGGATTCCAGGTATGGGACACCACACCAGCCTATAAAATATTAGTGAGATTTATGAAAGTGTAGTATTTTTATACTACATTTTTTTTTTAAATCTGACATGCACTTTACAACCTCAGTTCTCACTAGCCAAGACTGTGACTGTTCAGTGACCACATGAGTCAGCACTGTATTGACAATACAGGTAGAGAGCAAGGGTTTGGGGTGGGAGATCTTGGGGCAGACCCAAGACTCCAAACATCCTGGAACTCACTAAGTAGACCAGTCAGCCACAAACTCACAGAGATTCTCCCTGCCTCTGCTTCCCAAGTGCTGGGATTAAAGGCATTTGCACCCACACCTGGCCCAGATGGGTTATGTCTCATAGACCTCCTTCAGTTTAGGATGACTCTTTTAAAATACAATTCTTTCCTTTTAAAAATATTTAATTTCATTTTTACTAATTTTATTTATTTATTTATTTATTTATTTTGCACAGTCTCACTATGTAGCTGTAGCCCTAGCTGGCCTGGAGCTGGATAAGAAAGCCAGGCTGGCCTCAGACTCACAGAGATCCCCCTGTCTATCACTATCATTTTAACTCTGTGTGTGTGTGTGTGTGTGTGTGTGTTGCACAAGAGTACAGGATCTGCTGGGGGTCTGAAGAGGTGTCAGATCCTTTGGGGCTAGAGTTGCAGGAAACAAGCTGCCTGATCCGGGTTCTGGGAATCAAGTTTGGGTCCTCCGGAAGAGCAGTATGTGCTTTAGTGGATGGTCATCTCTCCAGGCCCCAGTTCTTTCTCTGTGACCACTTGAGCCCTGCCTGGCTGAGAGAACCTGCAGATTCTAAAGACCTTGTTTAGAACTGACACTTTTGTCACCTGCTGACCTTTGGCTAAGATCAGGTGTGGAGCTGACCTTCTCTGTTGTAACCTCGTTCCCATTTGTTCTAGATGTTTCTTTTGCTTTACTGGGAAGGAAATGGGTTGTGCAGTTTTAAGGGGTTGCTATGGCACTGGAGAGGCAGTTCAGCAGTTAAGGTAAGGTATTACTCTTGTAATGAATCTTTCTCTGTCTTGCCTGCCAGCTTTCAAATAATGACATAGAGACTTCTTATTATTTAAGAAAGCTCGGCCTATAGTTTAGGCTTATTTGTAACTAGCTCTTATAACTTAAACTAACCCATTTATATTAATCTACGGTCTTCACATGGCATTACCTCTCTTCCATCTTGCAACTTCTATTTCCTTTCCATGTTTCCTGACTTCTCCCACGTACCTAGCTTCCTCCTTCTCTTTCTTTCTCTCCCCAGAAGTCCCGCCTACACTTCCTACCTGGGCCGTTCAGCTTTTTATTTCCACAATCACAGCAATGCACCTTCACACACTGTACACATATCCCATAGCATAGTCTTGCAGAGAGAGAGTTCAGTTCCCAGCACCCACAGCAGGCAACTCACAGCCGCCTGTAACTCACAAGGGAACCTGACACCTCTGCCCTCAGGCATACCCCCCCCCACATAATTAGAAATAATAAAAACAATCCTAATTTTTAAAAAGTGTTACTAGTTGCTTCCGTAAAACTAAGCATACTTTTTTTTGTTGGGGGGGTGGATGCAGCTCATCCATGAGTCCCTGAGCATGCGCAAGAGAAAACACAAAAGTGTCTCAAAATGATACAGGGATTCTAAATTTATTAAAGGCTTTTTTTTGTTTTGTTTTGTTTTCGGCTCTTATTTGTTGGAAGAGGGAAGAACTAAGATTTCCTCCTTGGCACTGTTATTTCTTCTGGGGTGGGAAAGAATGTCTGCCCTCTTGGTGCCTTGTTATTGTTCTGTCTTGACAAACTCCATCCGGAGAAGAGCAGATTTTCTCTGGCGGACAGCCACGTGTGGTGGAAAAACCCTTTACCCCAGCCCCCCTGCTAATCCATTGGACAATCTTTGGACAACTGACCAGGGTCACCAACCCCCATGGTGACCTTCGGAGGGAAATACAGGACTGCTGAACTCTAGAAGGAAAGGAGGGGTTGGTGAGTGAGCCGCAGTTTCCCGACTGTCCTCTGCCCTGCCGACACCGCTAAGGTGCCCTACCCTTTCTGTTCACACTCTTCCCCACTGCCTAAGGTCAGCCTCAACACCTGACAAACCCTGAGAGGAAGAAAAGATTCTCTCAGACCCAACTTGGAACGTTCCTAGAGTTTAACTATGTGTATACGTGTGTGTGTGTGTGTGTGTGTGTGTGTGTGTGTTCATATACCCACAGAGGCTAGAAAGGCATCCAGGCCCCCCCCCCCCGCACCCCCCTCTCCGCATCCCAGCTGCAGTTTGTGAGCAGCCAGATGTGGGTGCAGGGAACTGAACTCTCCTCAGGAGCGGCAGGTGCTCTTAATTGTTGAGCCATCTCCGCAGCCCTGTTTTCTGAGGCTTTTAGTGCTTTCTTCTCACTCAGGTTGGCCCTGGGGGACAAAGGTTTCCCAGCGAAATATTTTCACCCGTACATTCGTTTCTATCTGAACAAGGCTAATTTAAGTCCCTGAAAACTAGAATTACTTCTTTGAAGCATAAAAAGGAGAGTTCACGGGTTTCTGAAACTTAGGAGGGTTGGTTGCGCCTTTCTTTTCTCCTTCTGGACGACTTAGACACTGACTCACACACACACACACACACACACACACACACACACACACACACACAC